AAGATCAAGAAGTGGTTTCCTTCATAATGAAATGTCTTTACTGCGTTAGGTCGTCTACTTAATTTGCCAGTATTTGTAGAGTCGGCTCATCCAGTGAAGCTTTACGTACCGCAGTCAAAGGGTGGTATTCCAGTAAACGGTAGCTCAGTGCACGAGAGGATGAAGATTTTGTGTTCCTAAAGAATTCAGCACAAGCATTTCTAACGTTTATTCTTTGAAATGCGGTTTTGAAAAGTGAATTCATACTATGATGGCATTTAAAAGAGGGTTACTTTCACATTTTCCATAGTAGTCCTCCAGACTTTATTTTACTTCATTCATTCCACGAATTCAGTATTATTATTCAATTTTCGTTCTGGTCTTTCGCGGACATATAGACAAAAGAAAAATTGAAATCAACAAACCTTAATAATTTATTTATATCAAATGGCAGGCGTCGTGAAAGTTACCATTAGCCCTTTAGTTGACTTCAGGCTTCCCAGAATAGAAGGAACATAAAAGTGAAACAAGTTGAGAGGGAGAGGGGGAATAGAAGAGAGTTTCAAAGATGAAAAAGAGACAGACACAAAGCTAGATGAAAGGTGAGGTAAGTACTGTGGAGGAGTCGAATATGACATACAATGGGGTGATGGTAGTTTGTAGTCAGAAGTCAACTGCCGGTTAATAGACTTTTTTGCCGTGTGAGTATACGTTGCCCAGGGTGCACCACGTGGAGGTAAGTCTATCGTACATCCCACGTTAAATAATAAGTCTGGATAAAGTTAATTTTAATGGGAGAGATTATTCCCTACAAATTTTAATTGCACACTAAGGGACAGTTAAATGAGATGTTGCAATAAACCATAAAATTAGGTTATATGGACATTTCATCTCCGAGCTAATAGAAGGTGAGCATCACCGTTCCGTGAATACTACTCAATTGCCTAAATTCATTTATTGATTTTGAGTTATATTTTCGCCCACTTTGCTAAACATATAAATGACTGTTCTTTCAAAATTTTTAATAAATTTATTAATTTCAATTTTGTAAGCACTCTGTAGTGCCACCTTACAAACATGCACAATTTGTCAAATTTTTCTTAGGTGCTGGTTATGATATATTTTTTTTAAGATTATTGCTAAATTCAATGGCTTAATTCTAGATTCTTCTTGTGGAAAGACAAATTAACACCTTTTCATGATTATAGAGTTTATCAGAGTTGAATACTGCAAATATTCTTTCATTGAGAGACGTCAATCGAAAATATCTGATTTTACTTCAATTCTTGACACTGTTTTAAAACTTTACTTTAATCAGAGTTTCCATGAGCCTCAGGTACTACAAATAGTTTCTTTTTTTAAATATTCCCTAATTTTGAAGGAATTCAACAGTTTATTATTCATTAAATCGTCTTCAATTTTAATTTTTAGCATGCCAACTGCTTTCGGAGGAAGTTATAGCCATCTTCTGCCCAGATAGTCGTTCCACTGCGCATGCAGTCATGCAGATCTGCCAACAGCACGCAATTCCCTGCCTCACAGCTCAATGGGACGCCACGTTGGGTACTAATGCGGAGTTCAACGTGACTGTCAACCTCCAACCCACTGTGTCTGATATTGGGGACACATTGGCTGCATTTCTCCAGGAAGCGCAGGGTTGGGATCAACTTGGCCTGATATACACCAATGAAGACAGTAGGCATTTCGTGATTAATACTCAGTGTCAAAATTTATTTCACTCTGGTGGAAAGTCTGAATGGGTTAGGCCCTTTAAAGTGTTGATATCCACTTGAGATTAGCTTAACTATCATTGCTTTGCGTTCCAATTTCCAAAATACGTTTTTTTGATGGTGTAACAATAAATTAGGATCGGTTTCTGCAACCCCTACGGTATTTAGTGACTTCGAAATGAAGGAAGTTAATTGTCACATTGCCATTGAGGAGCGACTTTCATGTTTTACTATAATCCTATTGGAGGGTGACTGTTATTTACGCCATGGAGACCAGTGGTGTTAAGCCTATTTACAAAAAAATGATTACCATTCGCTCTATTTAAACATATTTCCTTCAACATTTATCCCTATCAAGCATTTTACATTTCCCTCTTTGTAAAATATTATGTTTACGCATATTCTCCAACTTATAGATCTAAATTCAATCGAATTTTCAATGGTTAATTCAAAATATTGACGTCTTAAACTGATATCGATTTTTTCTTCAATTTTATCTACCTCTCCTTTCATTATTCAAATAATTATTTTAGAATTTCAGGTGAATTTCGCTAATCTTCCTATTTGGCGATTGTCTATGTTTGGTTTAATTATTAAATTTGAGAGATCAAACAATCTCGAACCAGGCCAAATCTCTCTTATAATAGTTGGAGTTATCCAAGAAATTTAATGAAAAGAATGAGCATAAAATCTTTGTCATTATTGAAAACTAAGAGAAATTTTTCGTTTTGTTGCAAGTGATTTATTTATTTATATCGAATGGCTGGCGTTTTGATAGTTATCATTAGCCCTTTAGTTGACTTCAGGCTTCACAGAGGGGAGGAGGAGCATCAAAGTGACAAAAAGTCGTGAGAGGCACTGAATAATGACGCACAGATTTAAAGGAGACAGACAGACACAAAGGCAGGGAGGAGTTAAGGTGAGTACTGTGGAAGTGATCGAATATGACATGCAATGGGGTCATGGTAGTTTGAAGTCAGAAGTCAATTGCCAGTTAATAAACTTTTCCCATATGAGTATACGTTGTCCAGGGTGCACAACGTGGAGGTAAGTCCATCGGAAGTGATTGTTAACATCCATTCTACCATTATTAGATGTAATGGATGTTCGACTTTAAAGTGACGCGTTTAGCAAAAGTATTGGTCATATGTCAGAGCACATACTGCCAACCAAACTGAACCAGGAAATCAAAAAAATCATCGGTTCAGCAAACCGATTTCTGCTAATACCGAATAGCAAGCTTTGAATTGTCCAATTAACACGATTTTTTGAAGTGTTTATGAATGATTGGACAAATGATATTTCTTTTGAATA